GCATGTTCAAATTAAAGCTAAAGAAGGTTAAATCATATCCACAGGAATCAAAATTTGACCTTAGGTTTGAGGCTTTGAACACTAATGAACAAAGACCAGATAAACTGTGGGAAGATATCAAGAATATCGTTCATGAAGAATGCAGAAATGTCATTACAAAGAAGAAGAAGAAAACACCAAAATGGATGTCAAAAGAGACTTTGAATATTGCAGCAGGGCACCAAGAAACCAAAGCAAAGGGAAGAAATCAAGAAGTTAAGGGACTGAATAGAAGATTTCAAAGGGCAGCTTGGGAAAACAAGGCAAACTATTATAATGAAATGTGGAAGGAGCTAGAGTGAGAAACTCAAAAGGGCTAAACTTGCTCAGCATTTCTTAAGGTGAAGGAACTAAAGAACAAATTCAAGCCACAAGTTGCAATGTTTAAGGATGCTTTGGGCAGAATATTGAATGATTCAGTGAGCATTAGAAGAAGATGGAAAAAGTATACAGAGTCATTGTACCAAAAAGAATTGGCTGACAGAAGAATTTCCAGAAACAATATATGTTCAAGAGGCAATGGTGATGAAAGAGAAAGTTCAGACTGCTCTGAAAGACTTGGCAAAGAGTAAAGCCCCAAGACTTGATTTAATACCACCTAGTTCCGTACCCCTCATCGCATCATCCTGTCTGGCTCACCAATGCAGAATAACCTCCGAGAGCTGTGGTCACTCTTCGACTTTATCTTCCCAGGAAAGTTAGGAACCCTGCCAGTGTTTATGGAGCAGTTCTCAGTTCCCATTACCATGGGAGGATATTCTAATGCTTCCCTGCATGTGCTCACCAAGTTGGCCAACTGACTGGAAGAAATGCATATTTATTCCCAATCCAAGAAAAGGTGACCCGACAGAGTGTGGAAATTATCGAACAATATCTCTAATATCACATATTAGCAAAATCTTATCCAGAAATGACTGGAACAGTACATTGACAGAGAACTACCAGGAATACAAGCCGGGTTTAGAAGAGGTCATGGTAGTAGAGACATTATTGCCAATGTCAAATTGATCTTGACAGAAAGCTGAGAGTAGCAGAAGAATGTCTTTCTGTATTTCATTTTCTATGCAAAGGCATTCAACTGTGTGGATTGCAACCAATTTTGGATAGCCTTAAGGAAAATGGGAATCCCAGAACACTTAATTGTGCTTATGTGAAACCTATCCTTAGACAAAGAAGCAATCATCAGAACAGATTTAGGAAATATTGCATGGTTCAAAATCAGGAAAAGAGTGTGTCAGGTATGCATCCTTTCCCCGTCTTTTCAATCTGTATACAGAACAGATCATTCGGGAAGCAGTGCTTTATGAAGAGGAGTGTGGCATCAAGATTGGAGGAAGACTCATCAGGAACCTATGATATGCAGATGACACAACCTTGCTTGCTTAAACTGGGGAGAAACTATAGCATTTGCTGCAGAAGGTCAAGGACTGTAGTCTTCAATATGGATGGAAGCTCAACATCAAGAAGACAAAGATTCTCACCACTGTGTCAATTGGCAGCATCATGATAGATAGAGAAGGATTAGGGTTGTTAGAAATTACAGCTTTCTTGGTTCCACAATCAACAATCTTAACACTAGCAGTCAGGAAATCAAAATACGAATAGCACTGGGAAGATCTGCTGTCAGAGACCTCTCCAGAGTGCTGAAAAGCAATGATGTCAGTCTAGAGACAAAGGTGCACCTAATCCAGGCCATTGTATTTGCAGTTGCTTGCTATGCATCAGAGATCTGGGCAATGACTAAGGCTGACAGAAGAACAGATGCCTTGGAGTTGTGGTGCTGGAGAAGAGTCTTGAACATACCATGAACTGTCAAGAAAACAAATTGGTCTGTCTTCTAGAGGGTGAGAGGGGTGAAACCAAGTGTCCTTGGAGGCTAGGATTTTGAAGCTCCTTCTTTTAGTACTTCTTGCATCAGTCAAAATTTTTCCTGTCGAATACTTCAGTATTGCAACTCAAGTTTTTACTTTGTTCTTCTGTTCTTTCATTTTGAGAAAAGGTAGGATCAGCCTCATTGCACAAGGAACAGGATTCCTTATGAAGCTTCTGGGCTGAACAGTGGGATTTGATGTTAGGACTAAAATAGGGTTTCTGTACTAGTCGTGAAGTCCTTCGGTGATGCTGATGGCTAATATGCTTGATTGATAACATGTTGGTTATTAATGTCACCCAGAGGTACCTTAGAAGAAGGGCCTTATGATATACTTCTGATATCCCTGTGGAACACGGTTCATCTGACACATCTCAGATCATCTGAGTGGGTATTGAGTTAATAATTGTTTGTTTTGGCAAGCAACAAATGCTGGCGAGGTTGTGGAGAAACTGGAACCCTGATTCACTGTTGGTGGGAGTGTAAAATGGTGCAACCCCTGTGGAAAGCAGTATGACGCTTTCTCAAAAAGTTGCAAATAGAGATACCATTTGACCCAGCAATTCCACTACTGGGAATATACCCTGAAGAGACCATAGCTGACATCCAAGCAGATATGTGCACACCCATGTTTATTGCAGCTTTGTTCACAATAGCAAGGAGTTGGAAACAACCTAAGTGCCCATCAACAAACGAATGGCTAGAGAACCTGTGGTATATTCGCACAATGGAATACTATGCTGCATTAAAAAACAAGGAACTCATGCAATATTATTCAAAATGGTTGACTCTGGAGAACATTATGCTGAGTGAAATATCCCAGTCACAAAAGGACAAATATTACATGATGCCACTGTTGTAGAATGGGACTGTCCTTGGGGTTGGGGAGAGACTGAGTAAGATGGGTTCAATAATGTATACTGCACTGAAACAGAGGAGGGAGAGAACCGTTTAAAAGAGAGATGTAACTGGGTATTTCTGTCATCACAGGAGACTAGAGCGAGGGCTGCATGGTGGAGGGGACCTGGGGGAGTGTTTGTAAAACAATGAAAGAATCTTTTCTTTTACTTTTCCATAATTTTTGGACTCATGTACTTATAACTTGTTAGTCAAATTTGTGTCTTCTAGGTTGCAACACCCCCATGATACATCTTGAAGGATATGTACATGTACAGCCAAGCACAATCAATAAGAGTGCATCTGAATTCCAAAATCAATCTCCATAATAGTCTATGTGTTTCCTACTGCCAAAGGGGCCCTTTAGAGTAGTGAGAGAAGATCTTCACCCTGAAACCCACAGCGTCCCTTTTCAGCAGGAAGTAGCTAAGAGAATACGCCGTCCCCTTTTCCTTATGACTCAGGGTGAAGTCTCTCTCAGGGAGGAGTGATAGGGAATGGCAAAGGATACACTGACAAAGAAGATTAATCAGAACTGGCTTTGACAAGCACTGTGGCATTTGGACAAGAACAAACTGGGAGGAGGGTAGAGAGAATAGTGCAACAATGAATGAGTGGAAGCCCAAAATCTCTGTAAATGTTTATGAAAATTAATAAAATATAATTATAGAAAAAAAAATTGTTTGTTTTGTTCCTGTACTCTAGCAGCCCCCCCCCCCCCAAATCAGGGTCTAGCTCTTAAGATCTTCCTTTAAAATTATTTAGGTGTGAAAAGCAGACCAATCTCTGACACTTCAGTCTCAGACACTGTAGGCTCTGGTTCTTGTGAGTTCACCACCAAATTCCAGCGTGGGGAAAGGAGGAGGAACCCTCCACACACAGGACTAGCCCAGGAGACTCCAAGCACACGCTTGGCTTACCCAGCATCTGCTCCTTCCAGAGGATAGAAAGATTGGATATTATTTCTAGTCATAGAGAGGCAAGAACCTTTTTTAAAAATATACTATATAGATTTCTAAGAAGAATTTAAGTAATTTTTTGGTAGGAATATAATACATTGCTTAATTCTAAAATTGAATTTTATATTACATTATTTATTTAGTAATATATTACCAGTTGTAATATTGAATGACTAAATAGTAGTTTTTAATCCTGTGGGAATGATACATTTAAAAAGTTACATATAACTAAAAGTTGTTAGTTTGTTGAACTTGTTTGTTGTTACCTGCTTTGACAAGCAAAAAAATTTTTTTTACATTCACACTTAAAGCATATGCATGCATATGTACAAATTGGAATGAGATATTCTTGTAGTTTTGTAAGATATTTTTTATAAAATACTAATTTTTTAACATTACTGTTTCTCCATTATGACAAAGCTATTTGAAATTCTAATTTTTCATATATAAGTTTCTTAAATTTAAGCTTTTGTCGAACTTCTTGTTCATTAAATAGTAGTATACTAATTTGTTAAGCCTTTTCCATGTTTTTTTTAGTATTTTAAGTGTCATTTATTGAATTCTTTCTTTGCCTTTAAGTGAATTGCAGAGGGAGTGGTTTTTCTGGGTTGTGGTCTTTGTACAGTTAATACACATCTCATGTGGCCTTGCTCCATTACAGAACCATATGCTCCATTTAGGCTAGTATGACCTTTCATTTCTGAGATCATAGGGATTTTATTGAATTTACTCTCATCAGTCTCCAGTGGGCAGTAATCTCTGCTTATTATCTGGTCGCTTCCATTGCAGTGATTTCCCCCAGTGTTAGCTTTTGATCTTCAATCTTGCAGATTAGCAATTCCTTTGTAGCTTTTAGAGAATACAAGATTATAAACAGAGATTCATTTTAAAGCATTTTTCCCCAAGAGAGTGGTCAGGAACTAAATCTTTAAGATTTAACTGTAATAATAATTAAAGCAAATATACAAAAGGATAAGACACAGTATTACCGAGTTTTATGTTATTGTACTTTTTGGGTAACATGATAAATTTTCTGACAATGTTAACATGAAAGCTACCATCCACTGGAGTATATGGAACTTATGTTAGGTTTTCCAACCAATTTTCTACAACTATTGGTTTTTTGTTTGTTTGGTTTTGTTGTTGTTGGGTGTTTTTTTTTAACATGGAATCTATAGGGAGTGAGAACAAATACATTAGTAAAACGTAATTTTTCTCCTTTTCTCTTACTAAAGGTTAAAACAGCATACAAGTGTGCTTGTGTCTTACGAGATACCATAAATCCATACCTGCTGCGGAGAATGAAGTCAGATGTCAAAATGAGTCTGTCTTTACCTGATAAAAATGAACAGGTTGGTAAATCCAGGAGTTAGCTGACTCTCCCTAAATTTAGCACACGTGTACCTCCTTTTTTGTTCTTCTTTTCACATTGGTGACTGACAAGGCTAACACTCAAAATGGGACATGGTTCTTAGAGGCTCTGGCCCTTGTCAGGTTGTGTAAGTGGACTGTGGATGTGAGCCTTTGTAAAAGTACCTCTTTATGTCAACAGAGAGGCATGGAAATTTTTCTCAGCTTTACAATGTGTAATAATTTTTTGTCTTGTTTAATTAAGGTGGATATTGTTAAAATTGCACACATTTTAGGGGCTTTTTAATTAGGAACCTTTTTTGGTACATAAATACCGTTTCTCTTCCCCTCCCCCACCCCGAAGGTTTTATTTTGCCGTCTTACAGATGAACAGCATGAAGTCTACCAAAATTTCATTGACTCCAAAGAAGTTTACAAGATTCTCAATGGAGAGATGCAGGTCAGCCAAAATAATAAAAGCCGTCTTAGCTGAAGAAGTGAATTGTGCAACATAGGAATTAGGGAAGGGAGGAAATAACCTTTAAGAACCTACAGTGTTCTAGGCTTTTCACATAATGTTAGTTCATTCTCTAAACTTTAGTTTGTATGATGGGTATTAAAACACACCTTAAAGACATTAGTTAAAGTTTAGGAACATTGAGCAATTGATCTCAGATTTGTAGCAAATAAACTATGAAGCTAGACGTCCAACTTGGACTTGACTACAAAGCCCATGCATTTTCTGCTACTCCAGAAGTTCTTATCCTGATAGATGAGTATGTGCAGGGCATATAGAATGGGTTTCAACAGAAATCATGGTCAAATTTACATGTTCTGGGGAGATTTATTACACTCATTAGTTTATTAAAGGGACCCCGTATCCAAAGAAATGTTTTTGAACCTGTGTGATGTTAAAAACCAGATATAATCTCCAATTTGAACTTTCTACCTTTATCCTCAGTGTGTGAAATGGATTTATGTATGGTTTTTCTTTTCTTCTTGGTATTGAAAAAGTTGCTTCTGTGCCCAGGATTCCGAAGTTAGTAGTTACTCACTCTTAGGAGAAAAAAAAAATCCAAACACCGCAAACTCATTGCTGCCACATGGAACCTGACTAATAACTGACTCTCCGTTGAGTTTCTGAGGCTGTAAAGTGCAGTGGGAAGAGATTGCTCATCTTTCCTCTGTAGAGCTGCTAGTGGATTTGAACCTCTAGAAACCTTGGCCTCTGGGTTAGTAGTCAACTCATTATGGGTTGTGCCCCAGAGCTCCCACTCTGCCATAATAGGTACATTGTGAAGACAATACAGGCTGGAAGAGTACTTGAATTATGGGGACTCTTCTTCCCCAGCAAGACTGTCCTCGAAGTAAATAAAAGTTAATTGGATGGGATAAAAAAAGGATTTCAGTCTCATGGACAGGGCTGAGACGTGTGTGCTGGAACCAGGCAATAGTTTACACAGGTGCATCTATCTACTAGTTCTAGGGCTTCAGTATCTTCTTGAAAGCACTTTAGTGAAGATTTGGACTTATTTGGAGCCATTCTAAAAGTCAAAGGCACATGACATGACTTAGTTCCAGCACCTTCCTTTTTTTTACATTCTGTGGAATCTGGAGAAAAGACATGAGTATAATGGAATGATAAGCTCTGCTGGAACTGCAGAATATTGTCAAAACAAAGGTCTTAACTCTGGGAGCTGGCAGATACATGGAGAGAAAAAAAATAATTTTTAGAAATGTTTCTGTAAGTAAATAAGTATTTTAGCTGTTGGCAATAATAAAAAATATATGTGAGCAAATTTTGTTGAATAAGCATATGTATGATGTTGTTGCTATGTGCCCTCCAGCTAACTACAACTCAAAATGGTCCTGTGAATACCAAATCTGAACCCTGCTCTGTCCTGTCCCATCCTCACCATTTCTGACAGACTTAAGCTCATTGTTACAGTTACTTTGACATTCTTCATCATTGACCAACTTTCAGATGCATAATAAGCAATTGAGAAACCATGGCTGGGATCAGGTACCCCTTAGTCCTTAAACTGACATCATTGTTCTTTATTATCTTGGAGAAGTTCCTGACAGCAAATTTCCCCAGTATGATAGGTTTTTTGAATTCCTGAGTGCTGGTACTAAAGATGTTGGTTGTGGATTCAAGTAAGATGAAATCATTGACAACTCCAGTATATCTTTCTTCATGTTGCCTGTTAGCTCAGTGGTGACGATTTTTTTTATGTTGAGATATAAACTGTATTGAAAGCTGTAGTCTTTGATGATCTGCAGCAAGCACTTCAAGTGCTCCTCACATCAACAAGCAAGGTTGTGTCTTTTGCATAACACAGGTTGCTGATAAGTCTTCAAACCCTATACCACATTCGTCTTCATAAATTCTGGCTTCTCAAATGATTCCTTCAGGACACAGACTGAATAGGGATGGAGAAAAGGAATAACCCTGTTGTACACCTTTATTTTAAACCGTGCAGCGTTCCCTTGTTCTCTCTAGGTATAGGTTTTGCATGAACTCAGTATTCCCATTCGTCTCAATGTTACCATTGTTTCTTGATCATATGCTACTTCCTGAAATAGTTCCATGTCAGCCAGGTTTTTTGTTGGTTTTTTGTGTTCCCTCCATCTTCTTTTGATGATGCTTGGATCATTCAAGATTTTGCCTGTAGCATCCTTCTGTATGTTGACACTCAGTTCACTTTCTTTTTCTTTTTTTTTTTAATTTTACCAAGAAAAACATGCTGGGGATACACGGAAGTGAGTGTTGGGAGCAGAAGGGTGAGGATGGGCAGGGATGAAAATTGCAGGGATGCAGTTGCAAGGCTGCACAATTTAGTTGGTGGGGGGAGCAGGTGAAGGAAATGAAAAGGATCCAGTGAGGGCCAGATGATTCAGGACAATGGTAAGCAGCGTCCAATGGTGACTAAACAAACTATCTTTTTCACTTGTGGGTTTCTCATTTGGGAATTGGGCACAGACTCTCTGGCTTTTTCATGCTGAACAGGGGTGTTGATGTGAAGGGGGGAAGGGCACACACTTTATTACCTTACTGGTGGTCTTGGGTTAAAGCTGCTTGCCTTCTTGTTCTGTTAGAAGATGTTTTCCTGACATTTACTCCCCTCTGGACTGCAAAATGTTTTCCCAGGTGGGTCCAGTGGGAATGGCTAACTGAACCCTGAAGCTCCATCCTCCTTTGCTTCCTTAACTGGCAGTTGTATTTCCTTTTTGTCTCTGGAACTGGGTTCAGGGTCAGGTCTGGAGTAGAACTCAGTGTTAAGGTTACCTATAGGAAAGGGAGAGAATCTAGAGAGAACAGACTTGTGAGTTACATATAGAAGGGCTTTGGGGGTGTTACTTATGGGTGTACTGGGGGAGAGGGTGGAGGAAAGTACCCTCGATAAAATTCTCTGTATTCCCTAGGCATTTTTTTTTTACCTAGGGGTTGGATGGTACAATCTGTGGGCTGAGGAGCTCACCCTGAGGCCCAGCTCACCCTGCCAGGGGTGAACGCACGTCTTGCCCCGCCACCCACTGGGGGCCGAACGAACCGCCTGCCCCAAGGGCCAGATGGCAACCCTTGTGGGCCAGGCGACACACCCCCACCAAACTCTTTCCACCCCAAGTCTGGACCCTGTGCCTCACTGAAGACTATGTGGCCAGAGACAGTGTCCCCAATTCCAGTACCACCACCATTACCCTCCCCAGTGGTCATACTGTAATTTGAAGTAGGTGTCACTGCCCTCCCCCTTTATATGTGGAGAAGGGGACCAGAGAGTAGTGAACAGATCCCCTACCCCTACGCCCCAGGTCTAAACAGTTCTTGGCAAAGGCAGACAGCAGATCAAAAGTTGCAGTGCATTGAGGATATATGCCATCTCGGACATGCTGCTACAGTTAAATGTCATTGAGTCATAGACAGCTCACAGAGACTCTCATCAATCCCTTGTACTGGTAACCTTTTTCTCTGGCCTGCCCAGGGAAACCCCATCCTGCCGCCCTGTCTTTCACTGCTGCCATCTTGGCTCCAAGAATTCTCCCCAGAACCAGTCCATTCTGCTGCAGTCGGTGGCTCTGCTGCACCAGCCTAGGGGGGAGGGGAGTGCCTACCTTCCATCACGGGTGAGGGGATCCCTGGGGTCCCGCGGTGGAAGCCTCATGGTGCTGTGGCAGAGCGCGGGCTCAGCAGCAGGGTGCTGGAAGCCGCAGGACTTACCCATTCCTCCCTGGGAATCCTTGATCTCCTGATGTTGAGCCTTTATTTGCACTGAAAACCAGTCATCAAGTGTTTACCTGTTCAATTATCAATAAACAGAGGTCTGTAGAAGGCCATAGTGGCCTTCCTCTATGTGGTCTGCTCCTCCCGCAGGCTCACCACGTTGTTTCTGCCGCTGCCGCCATCTTGGAATCCTCAGTTCACTTTCTTAAAGACTTGATAGGACCCAAAGAAGGACTGTATGGAATCAAATTATTCTCTCCGTACAGTTATCCTGTAGATTATCTTGAGAGATGCTTTCATAATTGACCTTGGGAATTTAGTTGACTGATTTCTGTTTTTTAAAAACCTTTCTACGCCAATGAGTAAAACAGCAAAGCACTGTGTTCCCTTTATAATTGATGCATTATATAGTTTAGGTAGATAAAGATATTAGTGGGTGACATAATTTCTGTAAATGTAGATGCTTTCTTTAGGGGTGGAAAGTAGACATTAGGTAATTTCCATTCTTTTAGCCATTACTTACAATTTCTAACCTTATCCATCATTGGTATCTCTGATTTTTTGAAACAATGCCATCTGTTCATTCCTCCTAAATAACCCCGCATGTAACTCCTGCATGACCCTCCATGTTGTAAATCCTTAAGTGATTAGGTCAGTATCGTTCACTATAGAATACAAGCCTTATAAGAAGTTTATATTTTCATGTAGTCACATTAAGAAAGGTAGAAAAAAAGAATAAAAATTTATTTTGGTCAGTTCCATAACCCAGCATATTAAAAATATTATCAAAATGAAAAATATTGAGTGAAATATTTTCATTTTTTGGTACTGAGTCTTTGAAATTAAGTGCCTCTTAACATTTATAGCACTTCTTAGTTTGGGCTAGCCTCTCAAGTTTGTTTTCCAACTCTGGTAGCACCTTGTGGCTGGTGAATACTGTGTTGAATAGCGCAAGTTAGAGGAAGGAAAAGATGACTTGGGAGTTTTTAAAGTGCTCCTGATTTATACAGATAATTTATTATTTGTATGTTTAACTGTAGCTCACTAGTTAAAATAGTTACTCCTTTGCTTGATTGGCTTAATTTGTGATTAATCTTCCCTTGCCTGAGCTTTTTCATCTTGGTAGCTTGATTTGAATCCTCTGAAAGCTGTGAGACAAGCATTGGTTAAAATTAGGTAATGAGGTTGAATCTCTTGAGTCATGTGAAGCTACAAAATGTTTAGTGAGGCACTAAAGAATATAATATTAAGTATGTTTGATAAATCACGTGACTGACTTCTCTATATCTAATGTGAGGTGACTTTTTTATGTTTATTTAAAAGATGAATCAACTTTCATATCAAATTTACAGTGTTGTGCACTGCTTAGCCCTTTTCCTAGTGAGTAAAAATGAATTTTCAACATTTGGATGTAGTCCTTGTAGACATGATAGGTCTTTTTCAAGAGAGCTTACCCTAATGGGGAAAGAAAATGAATGAAGATTGAGTTAACACTTTATATGCTTTGATTCAAGAATAAATTGAGTAGCTGGTGAAGAATTACTTTTTATTTTGTAGTTATAATGACTAGGGAGGATAGAAGGAGAATTCACGCCTTTGAGCTGTGGTGCTGGAGAAGAGTATTGAATGTACC